TCTCTTGACTCCTTTGTGCCTCAGCTTTCTCATCTACAAAATGGGATCTACATTATAAGGTTTTTGAGAAGAGTACGTGGATTAAAATATGTCCACTTGGAATACTGGTTGGCATATAGTAAGTACTACATGGGTTGGATATGATTATTGCTGCTGGTCCATGGTGGAGGCTGAGGGTGGGGCACTTCCCTCAGATCCATATCAGCATCTACCTCCAGGCCCGTTGAGGGGAAGAATTAGCTGTCACTTCACACTGTCTTCCCATTCTAATGTCTATTGTATAAACATTGTGCTCTGAATCCTTCAGTCTCTTAAGCTTTGGGAAATCAAAATGCATTTTCTCTTTCAAAAACCTGAACTTATCCAATTTAAGTCTCTGGCTCTGCCATAGACATCAAGAAACTATTAAACTATTGGAAATTAAAAGTCAAGAATTTGTCTTCTTCACTTGTCTCTCCCCTAAGGTAATAACCCTGATCTCCCTGATCGGAGGAAAAACTGTAAGTTACAAAGTTAGCATTTCCCTCTCTTTTTTGGAGGGGTTGAAAAAATTAAGTTTCCATCCAATTATCTTTTTCTTTTTATTCCTTTTACAGTCATCAGAAAACTTCAGAAGAAAGAGAGATAGAAAATAGGATATTATGGGGATAAAAATGGAGAAGGACAAGGTGGTTGACTAAATCCAGCCAGGAAGAGCTTCTCCGACTAAGAGAGGCCAGAGTAGCATGGCATATTCCAAACAGATCTTATGAGAGAATGCACTGAAAGTGGATGGAGCAATGATGCAGATACTGGGGCTGAAGGGGGAGGAAGCTGGGAACCCTGCACAAGGTTGCCAAGTGCTGGGTCTCATTCCTGCCCCTGAAAGCTCCCAAGGAAGGGGTGAGTGAGGGAACTGCAGAGTGGCCAACTCTTACCATGGATGGCTGGGATCCTAGCTGCAGGAGATCGCATGGCCCCTAGGAGCATTTAAGTTGGCAGGGAAAACTACTAGGAGAGTCAGTAGAGACAGAGATCCTGTCTGCACGGAACCTGGGGAATTTGGTGTACAAAGAGGTGCAAAGGAATACGGACATACCACAAGGCTCTCCATACTCCTCTAGGTGGCTCTGACCTTTGTTAACTGCTTGACCTGGCAAGCAGGGCTGTCTTTCCCATGGAACCAAGGTAACTGTGATTTACACACACACCCACCCATCCACTGGTCCCTTCCAGGGTCCCTGCCTAGCCACTTCCATGAAATCAGGCACACAGTAAAGCTTCCCCTGCTCTGCCAGAGCACTTTTGCTAATCACCAATACCATTGTGCTATTACTGGTGGCCTCTGCCACCCCACCATAGCACTTTCACTTGTGGCCCCCACTGCTCTACTGGAGCACTTTCACCAATGGTCCCCCAGCTGTCTTGCTGGAGTGCTTTTGCTGGCAATCCCTGATGCAGCACTTTAGCCAGCAGCCACCAACAGAGCACTTTTGCCAGTGACCTAGGAGCACCTCAACCCTCCAACCTCAATACAGCCAGTGCTCAACCTAGAGGGGCCAGAGGGCAAAGGCGTGGGGATGGTCCCAGACACCTAGGGCTAGAGGACACAGCTCAGGAGGGCTATACTAAGGCTTGTCCATCTGAAAACATCCATAACTCCAACTTATAGTTGAAGTCAATCAACCATATTCAACATAAATGATCCGTGAATTGAAAGATAATATAACCATTTTAAGAAAGATTCAAACTGAACTTCTAGAATTGAAGAATTCACTATAGCAATTTTGGAATACAATGGAAGTATTAATAACAGAATAGTCCAAGCTGAGGAAAAAAATCTCAGAGCTTGAAGATTGCTCCTTCAAATCAATGCAAGCAGACAAAAATATAGAAAAAAGAATTTTTAAAAATGAACAAAACCTCCAAGAAATATGGGATTATGTAAGGAGACCAAACCTATGACTCATTGACATTCCTGAAAGAGAAGGAAAGAAAGTTAGCAACTTGGAAAACATATTTCAGTATATAATTTACAAAAATTTTCCCGATCATGCTAGAGAGGTTGACATGCAAATTCAAAAAATGCAGAAAACCCCTGCAAGATACTATACAGGATGACCATTTCCAAGACACAGTCATCAGATTGTCCAAGACCAATAGGAAAGGAAAAAATCTTAAAGGTAGAGAAAAGGGGCCAGTCACTTAAAAAGAAAACTCCATCAGGTTAACAGTGGACCTTTCAGCAGAAACCTTACAAGCTAGAAGAGATTGGGGGCCTATTTTCAGTGTCCTTAAAGAAAAGAACTTCCAACCAAGAATTTCACATATATATCCAGCCAAACTAAGCTTCATAGGCAAGGGAGAAATAAAATCCTTTTCAAACAAGCAAATAATATGGAAATGTTTTACCACTAGGCCTGCCTTACATAAGGTCCTTAAGGAAGTGCTAAATATGGCAACAAAAGAAAGATTTCTGCCATCAAAAGAACCACACACACACTTACGGGTGTCGGGGGGCAGGGGCCAGTGTAGCCTCTGTGCCTCATTGTCCCTGGCACCACCCGGACATCACTCAGGCTGCCAGCACCATGAAGATCTGGACTTTGGAGCACGTCTTTGACCACCCGTGGGAAACTGTTACACCAGCTGCAATGCAGAAATACCCAAACCCTAAGAACCAACTGTGGTTGGAGTTGATGTGTTGGGCAGACATATAGATCCCTCTGGAAAGTTACACAGCCACAGACTTCTCAGCACAGAGTGGGGACTGCCTTCCATTGTGAAGTCTCTTATTGGTGCAACAAGAACGAAAACATACACGCAAGAACATTCTGTAGTTGATTCTGTAGAGAAAACAATGGAACTTAAATCTACTAATATTTCATTTACAAATATGGTTTCAGTAGATGAGTGACTTATATACAAACCATATCCTCAGGACCCAGAAAAAACTATTTTGACTCAAGAAGCCATAATCACCATGAAAGGAATTAGTCTCAGCAGTTACTTTGAAGAACTGATGGCAAGTATGATATCCTCAAATGCTAGTAAAGGTCGAGAAGCAATAGAATGGGCAATATATAAACTAAATGCTGAGATTGAGGAACTGACAGCCTCAGCAAGAGGAAGCATAAGGACTCCAATGGCAGCAGCAGCATTTGCAGAGAAGTAATCTTGACAGTTGGTAGATAACGTTGGGTAGCCCAGGTCTCTCCAAGCTGACTGTGTATTTATTTGTTATTTTAAAAATACAACTATAGTTTAGGTAGTTTTTTTTTTTTTTTTGATAAGCTGGTGTAAGTCTATGTAATTTTTGATCAAAATGGATTCAGGGCCTCTAAATAAAAGGGATCATCTGAAATTAATATTGTTTGAAATTACTATCTGATTTTGAGGGTTCCAGTCTTTCTGTGAAAATTCAACAAGAACTCCTTGGAAATTGGTATTGATATTGAATCTCCTTAAGGTAGAATTTTCAAGCTTTTCATATATTGGAACTCCACCTGACTTTGGACCAACCCCAGAACAGAGCAGAGCCACCTCCTATAGATGTCCATTGCCCTGCTGCTGTACACTTCAACAGCTTGCTCAAGGGAACTCACTTAAAAGGAGAAATTGTGTAGTTTTATAATATATTTTGAGTAAAATAACTTGCCGTGCTATAAACCACCATTCAAAACCAGTGTTTTGATTTGGCACTTAAATATTTTTGGAGTGAAAATTATCACTAAAGTAACAAGACTCCAACAAAAGTATGGTTTCATTACAGAGTACTGTATTGATTTGCCAAAGTTTTGTATCCTAGTAAAGGTATTAACTTCCTTGGATTTGTACTTTGTGATTTAGTATGCTGTACCATGGGCTGGTTATGTTTGCTGAAAAAAAAATAAAGTCATTACCTGGGTTTTGCAGTGCTCTAACTTAAATAGAAGAACAGCTGTTCACATCTTTTAGCATTTCACATTTGCCTAACTTAAAAATTTTCATGTGTTAAAATCATGGTTTTGTAATTGCTAATGTATGATACGTCAGATTATTTGAATATAATCACTTTTTGAAGTAATTGTGACCAAAAAACATCTTTTTTACATGAAGGAGCTGTATATCATTTGAAGTTACTCAAATGATGTCTTGCTCTGAAGCATAAACCCCAGGTACTTAATGTTTTTAATAATACAGTGCCACTGCAGGATTTGGGAATGGTGGGGAAGAACAAGGATAATGGTGGGCGGAAGCTTGGCCTGAAACTAACCACTAAGTGAATTGTACTGCAGCTTTTATTTATGGGGATTCCTTATTTGGGATGTCAGAGGGCAACTTCAAATTGAAAAACCATTCAGTAAATGTACTTAGTTTTATATTTTGTAGCAGGCAATTATCAACCACTAAATAATAGCTTTGACATTTGCAATTGTTGCATAGAGAGTATTTTAGCTACAAGATGATTAGCTCTTGCCTTTATTTTACTGTGCTTAATGTGTGATAAACTTCTAGTCATGTTTCCTATCAAAGAAACCAGTTAATATATATACATAAACCACAGCAATAGCATAACAAACTATTTTAAACAATCATTTTTCTACTTAAAAATTGTTTAGCTTAAGAATTCTTAAGACATTTGTAAAAGCAGGTTAAATTTAATAAGTTTTCTGATTCTTTTTTGTATCCAGAGATAGTTTTTACAAGTGAAATAACATTTCAGCTAAAAAAAAAATCACTAAATAATTGATATTTGGTGAAAATCAACCTTGTATAATTTCTGTAAATTACACCTGTTCTGAAAAAGGTGTAATGCCCTAAAGATAAGAAATTTTTAAACAAATCCTTATCCTTTGATTTTTTAAACTCTGATCTAATGATACAATTCTATAAATTTTCATTTTCCAGTGTAGTTAGTTACCTTTTTTGAAATAGCTGGTAATTGATAGCTTTTACCTGTTAAACATAAATACACAGCAAGCAAATATATTTAAGAGGACTAAACTGGAATAAGTGTTCATAAATGAAACCTTTGGACTATTTAATACTAAAGTTGAAAAGCAGATTCAGAAAAACTTTTGTTAATAAAAACTTTCTTTTAAATGAAAAAGAAAAGCACACTTAACTACATAGCCCACTGACACTAGCAAGCAACTATACAATCAAGTTTACCTAACGACCAGCCAACAACATAATGATAGGATGAAACCCTCATCTATCAACATTAACCTTGAATGTAAACAGGCTAAATGCCCCATTAAAAAGACATAGAGTAGCAAGTTGGATAAAGAACAAAGACCCAACTGTCTGCAGTCTTCAAGAGATCCATCTCACACATAACACCCATAGGCTCAAAGCAAAGGGATGGAGAAAGATCTATCATGCAAATAGAAAACAAAAAAAGAGCAGGGATTGCTATTCTTATATCAGATCAAAAAGACCTTAAACCAAAATGATCAAAAAGGACAAAGAAGGGCATTACATAATGATAAATGGTCCTACAGGAAGACTCAACTATCTTAAATATACATGCACCCAACACTGGAGCACGCAGATTCATAAGACAAGTTCTTAGAGACTTAAAAAGAAACTTAGCCACACGATAATAGTGGCAGGCTTCAACAGCCCCACTAACAGCATTAGGCACATCATCAAGGCAGAAAACTAACAAAGATATTCTGGACTTAAACTCAACACTTGACTAATTGGACTTAATAGACATCTACCGAATACTCCACCAAACAACAGCAGAATTACGTTTTTCTTATCTGCATATGGCACATACTCAAGATCAACCACATGTTCGGCTGTAAAGCAAGTCTCAATAAATTGTTAAAAAACTGAAATCATACTAACCACCCTCTTAAATGACAGTGCAAAAAAAAATAGAAATCAATATCAAGATCTCTCAAAACAATACAATTATATAGAAATTAAACAGTTTTATCCTGAATAGCTTTTGGGTAACGAACAAAATTAAGACAGAAATAAAAAACTTTTTGAAACTAATGAAAACAATGATACAATCCACCAAAGTCTTTAGAAAACCATTAAAACAGTGTTAAAAGGAAAGTTTATAGTACTAAATGCATACATCAAGTAGTTAGATCTCAAATTAACAACCTAACATCATATCTAGAGGAACCAGAAAAACAAGAGCAAATTAACCCCAAAGCTAGCAGAAGAAAAGAAATAACCAAAATCAGAGTAGAACTGAATGAAATTGAGACTCAAAAATCTATTAAAAAGATCAATGAAACCAAAAGTTT